TTAACGGATAACTTATAATAAATGGCAGAACGTTGTGTTTCATATTTTGACCTCTAGATGCCTTTCATTAAACAAACAAAATATACCACAGGATGCAGCGTGAAAAGCTCTACAATCCACATAAAATCGCTTATCTTACAGTTGCATTTTTTGTTGTCAAAATAGGCAAAATTTGGAACAATCAAATTTCAACCGTGTGAAATTTGATCACAAAGAATTTTTCTTTTTTTTTTGAAAAAAATTACAATATGCTCTAGTGTGTAAATTGTAGAGCTTTTTACGCTGCATCTTGTCGTATATTTTGTTTTTTTAATACAACCTATTTATTGGTTAAAATATCCTTGATAAAGATTGTATAATTTTTTACCTATGTAAAATATACGAGTCCGAGTTTTTTTCAATTATTCGAGTCATTTGTATGGTCACGAAGATTCTAGAATGCTTCAGAATCTTCTAAGTCTATCTATCATTACTAAGGTCCGTATTGGAACAGTTCAAAAAAAACTTTGATTTCAAAGTACACTCACTATGTTTCTTTTTCCGAAAATATGCATATATTCCACAAAATGATATCATTTGACGCCAAAATTGGAAAAACTCCTGTTTTCCTCCTTATATTCAGTCTCGAAAGTTATTAAAAACAATACTTTCCATAAATTTCAATTTCTCGAGATTTGATACTTTATTCTTTGTCAAATCCTCTAAAAAAACATTCATTTAATATGGATGATTATTTTCGATTTGCTGCAATTATTTGTTTATTAAAATAAAATTAAAAATATTTATTGAAAGTTCAATCTCTGATTTATTTATTAATTGAATTACAAAACTATCATTATCATATATAACAAGAAACTAAATAAATAGAACAAGTCTTAAAAAACTAAATTTTTACCACCATAAATGTAAACTGTAATTAATGTATTCAATAGAGTAACTATCAAGTAAATTCTTTAATTTAATTAAATCTTTTATTTTTTCTAAGTATACTTCTTCAGTACATGAAATGCATAAATAAAATAAATGTTGTGCTTGATTATGAGTTTTTGATAATAAATATTGAACTATTGATGATATTTTTCTACCAGTTATTTCAATTTTAAGATATTTTAATTTCGAAAATACATAAATAATGAATCGAATTTGATTCAATGAACATCTACCAGTAAGAACTAAATTTTCAATTTTATTTTTCTTTAATATATCTTGTAAAAGTATATTGTATTTAGTGAAATTTGAATTTATCTCTTGCAAAGAATATTCATCAAATTTTAATGTGTGTAAATTAGGTGTTAAACATAATAATTTAATAATTTCTTCGAATGGAAAATGACGAATGTTAATAACTAATTTTGTAAGTTGTTTTAAAGGAATCATACATTTAAGATTTGTTATAAATGAATTATCATCTAATATTTCAACATCATATCCAATAGTTAATTGATTAACATTTGAAAAATAATTTCGACAATTTGATTTTGTTTTATGCTCAATATAAAGATGTTTGACTGACTTGAAATTTTCTCTTTGATGATGTAAACCAAGTTTTTCATCTATTTCCATATAATACATATAATATTTTCTTCTAAATAAATGAAATAAAGAATAATCTATAATGATAAACGAGTAATTGTTTTCAATAGAAAGCTATCGGAAGAAAATATTTTCTCTCATTAGTTTTTCTATTGAAGAGAAATGAAATTCGACATTATTATCCTATTTCTTTTCTATAAGAGATTAATTTCTATTTACCGATATGGACCAGTTGAATAAAAAATTCCAGTATCTATTCGGTATTTCCATTGATGTTGATATGTAAAAAACCATTTGTTTTCATTCCAAAACGAAGAATTAAACTGATTAATTATATCATGATATGTTAAATTATTATTGCTCACATTGCCTTGATGATTAATATAAAATATACGTAAATATGACATATGAAATAAGATTAATTCTTGCCATCGTTTAGCATCTAAATATGTTTCATCATACACTATTGTAAGACGTAAAATTTGAATATGACGAAAAAATTCTTTGATAATTTTCTCAAATTCATCAAAAGGTACCTGATCAAATTTAAGAGAAACATGTTTTAAATATTTTAATTGAATAGAAGATAATTTGTTGCTTTCTTCATAATAGTCAATTTTATCAAGATAATTAATTGATAAATGTTGAAGTTTAGGAAGACAACATAATAAATTATGGAGTGCACTAAATAGAAGATGACCATTTATTATTAAATATTCTATTGAACTAGATTCATAATTAATAAAATCAATAAGTAAGAATTGTTGATATTCAATTTTACAATATTTTAATGTCGATAAACGAAATATTTGAGAAAAAATAATATCTAATGATGAAATATGTTGAACAAAAGAAATAGTTATTGCATGAAGGGTAGTTAAATATAGTAGATAATCAAAGAATTTGTGAAAATTTCTATCTAGTACATTATCAAGAATTATTGTTTGAAGACGAATAAAATTTAAAATCAAATGTGGTTGTGAGAAAATAATCTTCACAACAAATGGATTTGATAAACGAAGAAAATTAATTTGACTTTGATTAGGTATAAGTATATTATAATAATAATCTTCGAAATTTGATTTTGATATTGTTGAAATATTGATTTTAGTTAAAATATTCGAATTAATAGCTAAATTTTGAAATCGATTATTAAGATTGTAAAATCCTTTATAAATATCATATACATCAAGATATTCAAATATTTCATATAGAATTTCATTAGCTAAGTCTTCAAGACAATATCTAAATAAAAGTAAAAGATTATGATTATTTATATGATAAAATAGATATATCTAACTTGTTTGAATTGATTGTTGTTACTAAAACAGCAAATGAAGAAAATTAGATTTAATAAATGTTAACATAAAATATTACTTTGATTTTCTAACTTCTGTTTTTTATTACTATTCGAAATTTGAACCATATCATTCTCTTGTCGTTTTGTTCGTTGCATGTTGAAGGATAATTGAATAACGATGATACTGACTGAGGACGAATATATATATAGACATGAGCAACAATGAACCTCATTGTCTTCTTTCTTCTCTAAACACTACAGACGCCGAGAACGATATGGCTCCAACCAGACTAAAAAAAAAGTAAAACAAATAAAGCAACGTGAATGGTCTATTTCGATTTAAATCATCTTTTTGAGATGATTTATTCGTTAATTCAATTTTAATTCACTTTGAATTAGTCGATCGGTTTGGTGCCTATGTTACTTTGTGTTGAAAAGACAATGATTTTATTGTACAAGAACCACAATGAAACAATTTAAAAAATCATTCTGTAAGAGGTTTTTCGTTGATACAATGGAAAAATTATTCCAGGGAAAACCATTGAATTTTCTATTTTTTTCGTTTATTTATTTTTACCGCTACATGTTGTTTATATACAAGTCTAGACAAGCAATGCGAAGAACTATTGTTTCACTCTTGATATCAATATGCTATTAAGAACATACCTATTTCATTTGTAATATTTACTATATTGTCATTTTAGATTGATGTGAGTTTTCTAGAAGAGTGTCGGTGCAGGTGTGGTTAAGAGTTTGAGTGTGTGATAACTTCTCTCTCACACGAAAAAACACCCACACCTACACCCTCATTGTTTTTGATCGTCAATCATGTTTTGGGAGATATATGATCCAAAGACTGAGCATATGTCACTTTGTGCATTCAACAAGTGAGTGATTCTAGTCGATCCTGACCGTAAATATTGGTATGA